TTTTTATATATTAAAGCATCATGAAGTGTGACATGAGAATATATATTGTTCCTTCTGTCCCAAAATATTCTTTTCTATTAATACTTTGGGATGTCCAGAAAAATATTCTCATTTCCTTCGTAAGAAAGTTTTGTTTGGTTACTATTCATTTACTTTTTTTCTTATCAAATCACAATTATACATTTTGATTTTATGCTCACTTTCTTAAACTCCGATCATCCAAGTTAAACCAGTACAAAAATTATTGGACATGAGTACATGTAAATGGGAGATACACTTCTCTCATGACTATCTATAAAGTAATTACCACAAATTCTATACTCGGGGATAGTTACAAATACTAAAGCAGATATGATAGAATAAGTATAAAGCATATAACTCTATTTTTTAAAAGACAGCGTACTTAACATATAATAATAAAACAAAAATGTAATATATTTTCACAAATTATAGTTCATTAAATACTACAAAGACCTTTGACAATATATTCTCTCTTTACATCATGTCTAACCCGATAATGCGTATATGTCACTACGTGCGTGTACTTTCCATTTGAACTCTTTTGTCCCTATGAATCTCTAACGACCTTTTTTTATTCAACACACTTGCATTTCAAACACTAGAGATGTATTGATTAGGAACACTACAATTTTACAACGTAATAGTACTCCTTTTGAACGATTGGAGGAATATTTTTTTTTTAAAAAGTAGAGGTATCAATTTTATTTTTATAGTACTATTTTTTTTTCTCGAAATGGGGTGTTGCGTTCCCGATTGATATTTTTTTTATAGTATCAATTTTTTTTCGGACCAGTTAACTTGCAAAAATCATTTGACGACCTTCCCGATTGAATTTTTGGTTGAAATTTGGTATGGATGAACTAGACTTGATGAGGAACCTACACAAAAAATTTGAGCAAAAATACCACCGGGAAGGCCCCCAAATGGAGGAGGCCGGACGGGGCTCCGGTCAGGTATACCTGACCGGAAGACTACTCTCTCTCTCTCTCTCTCTCTCTCTCTATATATATATATATATATATATATATATATATATAGAATTTTATTCATGTCCGGAATTCTGGACAGGAACCACCGTCCGGACGGTGGCGTTTGGCCGCCTTCCCGGTGACATTTTTTGATGAAATTTTTATGGCATGTTCTCCATCAAGTCTAATTTTGATGAAGAACATGTCATAGAAATTTCATCGAAAAATTCCACCCGGAAGGCGGCCAAACGCCGCCGTCCGGACGGCGGTTCCGGTCAGGAATTCCAGCTGACCGGAAGAGTACTCTATGTATACACACACACACACACACACACATACACACACACACACACACACACACACACACACACACACACACACACACACACACACACACACACACACATATATATATATATATGTATATATATGGGGGTGAGATCACATACAAACTAGTCCTCCCGTGCTAACCTACAAACTGTTCCAAATTGTGCATCTTCACATTGTTTGTACTGCATATTATAGTTCAAAGTGTTGCATATTATTTGTATTGCATATTGAAGTTCAAAGTATTGCATATTATTTCTATTACATATTGAAGTTCACAGTGCGCATTTTTACATTATTTGTACTGCATATTGAAGTTCAAAGTGTTGCATATTATTGAGTTTGTAGGTTAGTATTTTAAGCATGGTTTGTATTTGATCTCTTGTCTATATATATGTATAAACATATATATATATATGTATATACATATATATATATACATACATATATATATATATACATACACATATATATATATATATATACATATATATACATACATACATATATATATATATATATATATATATATATATACATACATATATATATATATATATAGAGTGCTCTTCATGTCAGGCCGGCCTGACGGGATGCTCCGTCCGGCCGAGCCCGTTTGGGCACCTTCCCGGTGGAATTTTTTGATGAAATTTTTTGAGCATGTTCCTTATCAAGTCTAGTTTGTCCATACCAAATTTCAGCTCAAAATTCAATCGGGAAGGCATTCAAATCATTTTTTGAAGTTGACTGCGTCAAAATATACATAGAAAACTGCAGTCAACTTCAAAAAATGATTTGAATGCCTTCCCGATCGAATTTGGAGCTGAAATTTGGTATGGACAAACTAGACTTGATGAAGAACATGCTCAAAAAATTTCATCAAAAAATTCCACCGGGAAGGTGCCCAAACGGGCTCGGCCGGACGGAGCAGCCCGTCAGGCCGGCCTGACATGAAGATTTGTCTATATATATATATATATATAGATAAGAGATCAAGTGCAAACTCATCTTAGTATGCTAACCTACAAACTAATCTTGACCATTCATTAAATGGAGATCACCGTTCGTGTCATTTTAATTGTTGAAAGCCAAGTAATTAAAAGTTAGGGATATTTTGGTCAATTACTCAACTTTTATTAGGGAAAGAAAATCACGTTCGCTTCTTACCATTCCCATAACCGCCTTTTCCATTTATTCTTTCATTCTAGCTTTCTGGTCGATCATGTTTCTCATCTCTGTGCTTGTCTTCTTGTTAGCTGTGTTGGACATAGGCTTGTCTCCAGGGTATCAAATCTTTCTTCATCTCCATCTCCTTCCCCATCTCTATCTCCATCTCCATCTCCTTCCCCATCTCTATCTCCATCTCCATCTTTACCTCAATCTCCATCTTTATCTCAATCTCCTTCTCAAATTTAATATAAACTGATGAGTGTTCTATTCAAACGCCATGGATTCCAGCATCGCCATGGAATCCGATGTGCAAGTCCGATTTTTATTTTTATTTTTTATATTTTTTTTCATATCATCATCAATTACATGTTTTTGCAAAATTCTTGTAATTTTAGTATCCAAAAGTTTTTATGCGAAATCGTTTCATATAAATTCACACAATTTCATATTTATGCGAAATTCCTATAGCTTTAGTATGTAAAATATAGTACGGAGTAGTATTTTTGTCATTTAGAGCATTTTTTAAAAATATATTATGCATCCTGTCTTCTAAATCTCATGATTTTCATATGCATGTCACGTGAGTTTAGAATGCATATGTCATGATGATAAGATGCAGTATATGGTCCCCTAAGATGCACCTGTCATCTTACTGAATTGCAATATATATGAACTTCTAAAAGTGCACAGATGATAATGATAAAATGCAACATATGAATTTCAAAATTTGTAATGCACACGTCATAATGACAAAATGCAACGTATTGGCTTTCAAAGTGCAACGTAATAGATTAATTAGCTCAATATAACAACCATTATCTAAATAATGCTCATATCATGTGACTGAAAGTGCAACATATGCACAACTAATATGCAGACGTTGTAAATATGAAGTGATTAATTTCGTAAAAAAGGGAATTTATTTCAAAAATATTATCATATGTGTACGTTTTAATAATAAAATGCACATCTCGTAACCTTAATATGTAGTTTCATGTATGTTGAGCACTCATATGCATGTGAGTAGAGTATATAATGCAGCCGCCATAACAATAAGATGCAGTATGAACTTCCAAAGTGCATATGGGAAGTCATAATGATAAGATGCAGAATATGAACTTTTAAAATGCATATGTTATCTTACTGAAATGCAGTGTATGAACTTCTAAAATGCACATTCCATGTTACTAATATGCATTTTATTAACTTCTAAAATGCACATGCATATTCATAAAATGCAACATATGAATTACTAAAATGCAGATGTCATAGCGATGAGATGTAGTATATTAGTATGAAGTATTAAAGCGCACATTTCATCATACTAAAATATAATATATGAACTCCTAAAATGCACATGTTATAATGATAATATGCAACATATGAAACTATTAAATGCAGATGCCACAACGGTAAGATGCAAAATGATACCAAAGTGTACATATTATCATACTAAAATGTAATATATGAACTCCTAAATGCACAAGTTATAAAGATAAGATGCAACCTATGAAACGCTAAATTGCAACGTCGATAAAGTTTATCACTATGTAGATCTAATATAAATTGTGGAGACATTATAAATATAAAATGCACATCCTATCACCTTAATATGCACAACCCGTAACCTTAATATACACATCTCGTAAACTTAATATGAACGTCTGGTAACTTTTATATGCAAAATTTACTAGTGCTCATTTCTTCAATCGAGAAATATCCAACTTATCACGTATAAGTTTTGAAAATTGGAAAGTTAATTATGGAGCGTCTGAATCCGTAAATCAAGATATTAGTTTTGTAAATGCTATCATGTGTGTTTGTAATGATATTACAATCTTCTTTGTTGGATAAAAAATCTCACGTTAATCTTTATATAAAGATTCAACTTCCTAAAAAGAAGTATAATGAAAAATAGATGGAGGTCGAAATATTAGTAGTGGGTTACCTAAAGTGTTTGGACATTGGTGGTGGATTACATTAATTAGTGGTAGAATATTAGTGATGAGTTATTTCCGTTCTTTCCTTTTCTGCTTGGAAGCTCCGTTTTTAAAAAGTTAAATGACCCTGATAACCTTTCCCACCGATCACTCCAATAAAATAGCCCAAACGATTGAGATTCTCTACATCTCAACACACGCTCCATTATTGTGGATGGCTTTTATCCGCTTTTGATTCTACAGATATGGACGGAAGTGATGAGTTTGTAGGTTAGCACCGGAAGCTTGGTTTGCATGGGATCTCACCCCTATATATATATATATTAGAAAAATGCTATTTGTACACATAAGTTGTACACATTTCTTGTACACCCCCTTTGTTTGCTTATGTACTCAAGCAGCTCGTTCAGAAGCTGCTATATACATAGGCAACTAGGAAACGTGTATAAGAAATATGTACAACTCATGTGTACAAGTAACACCACTCTTTCCCTTATTGAAAATGATATTTGTTTCATTTGGAGTAGAAAATGAGTCAAATGATGTATATTATATTTCCCCTTTTCACCCACAGTATGAATGATGTGCTCGAAAAGTACAAATTACACTCGAGCAACCTTGGAGAATCAAGCCAGCCCTCTCTTGAACTTGAGGTATCTCACACACACATAGGTTTTGATCAAATAAAAAGGATTGATGTGTAAGATAAGAAACATCACTTTTATAGTGTTATGATACATACTCCGTATTTCTTTGCAGGTGTTGAATTTTTTCATCTGTACAAATTCCACTGATATATTTACGAAGTTCTCATTGTCTATTTCAAACAAGTGTGTTTTTATCATTGCTTAAAGTGCAACACCTCCTCATTCTAAGAGAGCTTCTTATAACAATGCTTAGATAGGGTGCAAACTGTTAATCGTCACAGTTTACTCAACTTGGTGCACTTTATAGCTGGTCTTTGCACTTTTAAAATGTTGGTCAAGTCATTGCAATATCAAGTTAGATTAAAGAGGGTGACATTTTGGTCGAGTCATCGCAATATTTGAGTGGCTATAATTCATTCTTAATTTATTTTTATTTTATTAATTCATTATTATAAACCACATAATTCTAATTTTCTTAACAACTGCATCATTTTGCGTTCTCTCAATCTTAACGGAAAGAGGTAGTAATATTTTAATTGATCCACGCAAACAAACTACAATACCCTCAAAGTAGCATAAAATTTAGGTGCCAAAAATTTGCTACATAATTCATTTTGTTGATGGATTTGAGTGGGGGGAGAACTTGCCACGAAGTCAAGAATTTTAGCATGTATGAATGATATCGAATAATATACTCCGAATTAAATTTTAGAACATTCTCTTTCTTAACGTAATTAGGCAGAAGAAGGCCTTCATGGAGCAGTAACCAAGGAGGTTGCAGACATGATGGCTTATGAGCTAAGGTATAAACTAAACTTAAACTACACAATTCGTCTTGCATACGTTTAGTTAAATTTTATTGAATGAATTTATTTTGTTGTTACTACTTGCATCACTGGTCCCATGTAATCTTGTTTGAATATATTTGTACAACTTTTGAAGTATTTAAATTATAATTAATGTACTTTTCAAAAATTTATGTGAAATATCAAATTATTAAGTTAACTTTATCTTAAAATTTTCGTATTTGTTTAGAAATTTAATCTTCCATCATCTCATATTAAGCTCTTTGGTTTTGCTCTGAGTTTGTACTCCTTATTTTAGAGAAAGAAAATGTAAAAAATCAAATTTTGAAATTTCATCTACATAGGTTTTTATGTAAATAAATTGTTCGAAACAAGACTGTATATTTTAGAAAAGGAAGGACAAATTAACCAATTTATTATCTCAAGTGAACATTCATTATGAATTAAATTAAATTGAACAGGAACCTAAAGGAGGAGGACCTTGAAGGATTAAGCTTTGAGGAACTATATGAGTTGGAGAAAAAGCTTGAAGATGAATTGTCACGTGTGATAGAGATTAAGGTTTAATCGTTTCCATTAGAATTATTTTTATTTTGTCGTGTTGCACATTATCAATTTTGTGTTGAGTATGAAAAAAGAAAAATTGTGAACTTAGGGTTTGTGTAGAAAAGTAAAAATTGTGAGCTAATTTTTTTTAGACATATAAAAACAAAAGTTGACAAAGTCCAGTGAGAAAAAGAGAGCTATTGTTTACCTTTACGCCTTGAAAATCTTTGAATACCCCGGCTTATCCTAATTAAAACTTTTAAGGGTTCGCCTCACGATATCTAAGTAGAGAGAGATAAATTAAACAAGTATGGGAGTCCTCTCATGGGATGTACTTGTTAAGATGAAATCATTGCCCTTATTTATAAGTGAGATCTCAAGTAAGTGGTTACATAACCGTCTTGTGGCGAATGAAAGATTTTAGAAAATACTACACCATCAAAATAGAAGGGCATCAAAGTTGGGTGGCCATGCCATGCATGACCAATCCCTTTCCTAAATTATATAAGACTTTATATATCTTTGCAAAATTTATTCTACGTATATAGTTATCTATTGGTCTACTCTAATATTCTATTCTTGCTACACCAATGTTAATATGTTATAGCATATACACAATAGAATTTGTAACATATTATTATCATTTAACATTTCTACTTTAAATTGTTTTACAAACTTTTGTATGTATAGTAGTAAGTATCTATTTATTAAGATATAATTTTTGAGTTGACTCAAATATTTGTTTCAGGGTAAAAGAACTATGGCCGAGATTGCCAATCTTGAAAGAAAGGTAAGTGATGCATGCATGCACAAATTAATTTGTAAATTTATTTATTGGTATCAAATTAAAAAGTGAAGTAAATATTGAAATGATAAGAACATAAAATAAATTATTAATGTTTTGAATGATATTATATTATTGATATTGGAATTATCTTGTAATTACTGTGAAACCAAGTTGTTGTGTTCATGATATATATAAATAAAAGTATATCTCTAAATAAAAGTAACAAAATAGCTAAAAGATAATATCAACATCAACCATACTGTAGTACAAAAAATCATGATTAGTTGTTTTATCCTTATCTCCCTTTCCTAAAAAAGGTACATCTTTGTGGCCATATAGTTATCACCACCTTACTTCTAATCTACGAAGTGTAGGGTGTTGAATGGTTGAGGATATTCACATTTAGCTTGCAATATTTTTCAATTAGAGAATTATTTACTTTTGATTTGCATTCTCATCCTCATATATCTTGCAGGATACTGAGTTGATGGAAGAAAATCAACGATTGAAGCAAAAGGTACAATAAAGAGTTGAATTAAAATAGAATTGTAGTAATATTTAATGTTACATCTATAAGCAACACGCACAATAAAGTAATATTTAATGTTACATCTAAAAGGAACAGGTACAATAAAGTAATATTTAATGTTACATCTAAAAGGAACACGCACAAAATGACATATGTTACACATAAAGAAAATTAATTTAGATGTAAAACTTAATATGAGAACTCAAAACTGAAAAATTGTGTTTAGATACCAAACTTTGAGAAGCCTACTTAAGACTTGAATAAATTATACTACGTATCAGTTAGACGACAAATTTATATGTCAACACCATTTTTAGATTACAAGAGGAATAGTTACAAAAGCAACTCACAATATTACAAAATTCTCATTTACCAGGGTTGATGGTAAGATCACCGCTACTAGCTATGTGTGCATCGTCGGGTCAATGAGACAATAGATAGTTGGATTCAATGAACAACAATTATTTTATTAAAATCTTTGAATATATCAATTATTAAATTGATAATAAAAGGAATATAAATGCCCTAATATGTAAGATATATTGTGACTTTGAAAGAAAATGTATGGCCATAATGAATAGGCTACTACTATTTGGAACTTAAGAGGAAATTAATAATTAAAAACATGAGATAGGTAATGACATTAGTTGTAGATAAGATAATGGATCCATATATGTCAATCAATAAAAAAAATCATCTCCTTATTATTTTCCACATCCACAGTTTTTAGGTTTTTATCCACATTTTTGGGTTTGATTAATTGGTGATGATGGCAATACCAAATTCTCTTCCCAAGCATCTGATCCTTCCTCCACTGTTGTGTAATTCGTATTTATCTCCACAGTTTCTTCTAGTCATCTACGGTCTACACGTTGCAACCTTCATTTTTCTTAATTCGTTTATTTGCTCAATTGTTCCACTCATCCGTTGGCCGTTGCAATAGTGCAACAATCAAATAAATCAGTAAGGCTTTTGGTCTGGGACACTTAGCGACTTGGCTAATCTAGTAATCCATTGCTTTTTGCATTTTCCTCTCATAGAGGTTAACTAATCTATCGAGCAGATGACCCCTTGAGCCTCAAGCTCATGTAATTTATGATTAACTTAAATTGACTAGTATATAAATATATGAATCAAATTAAAACTGTATTTTAGTGTTAAATATATGAACTACAAATTTAGAATTTAGTTGTACGAATTGAGACTTGGAATTCTGGAAAACTCTTTCTATATGCTTTTTAGCTTGCATTTTTGCATGACTTATGAACAAAAGCATTTAATTTTGTGTATTGAATTTTATTTTTGACAATGAAAGTAATGCTATACATTTGTACAGCATATATAATTAAGGGCTGTTTTTAATTAGTGTTCAGGAACGGTCTAACTAGAACAGAGAGGATATTTTACGGAGTAACTGAATTGCGCCTTCTTTTAATATTACAACTTTACTTGCTTTCATATTTGGTCATATTAAAGACTTTCCCACCAAAGTATACTCTCCCGACGAAAATTTTGACGTTAAAATTGGTGAGTTTATCTCTATATGTTTTTTCACTAGAAATTGTACTTTCGTTAAAAAAGTTTAAATACAGACAATTTTTTACTTTATAGGACCAAACATGTAAGCGAGTAAACTCACATGACTAATAATAACAAGCAAAATTGGAAGTTGCGAGACTAAACCAGAAAATTTTTGAGTTTGTTTACTCATTATTAAGGCATTCTCGTCGAACTAATGAACTATATGTGTGAATATGTGATAGATGGAAAGCATAAATGACAGGCAATCATCGGAGTCCACCACCGCAACTTTCGCCTGCAGTAGTGGCACATCACTGCTTGAAGACGATTGTTAGGTCCCTGTTTTCTAATCTATAAAATGTATGTATGGAAGATAGATCTGGGAATGAAGCTTTCCATTGATGTAATGAAGAAGTTTACAGAATGATGAACAATTTAGCGTAAAACTTCTATCACCGATTAGGCACTGCGGCACTAGAATGTTATGAAAAGCTTAACCTAGCCTTTCCCTTAAGGCATATTTATAGCCTGACGGGAAAGGTAGGTTTTACAATCATTTGGGCTCCTTTATCTAGGAGGCCCATACCTAAAAAGGTATAAAACCTTTATTACAAAATTGCCTTAACAGGCCTATTCATTATTCTAGCTAACTATAAACTAGCAAAGTAACATTGATCACAATTACAATGAAAATATCTCTAACAATCTCCCCCTTTGTGATCAGATGTTCTTGCTTCTTCTTTTCTTCACTTCTGAGCTTTAAAATAATGCTTTCTAAGATTGAGTGCATGCTCGTAATTTCTGAGAGACCTTCTTCTGTCAAGTTGTTTCTCGATGGCTTTCAAGATTTTATTGACTCTTTCCAATTCTTTGATTTCTTCCTTCGAGGCTTCATTCTGTCTTTTATCTAGATCTTCTTTCCTTGGCTGGAGCTGTTCTCGGATGATTTGCAGGGTCCCATCACAGTATTTTCGAATGTCTTCAACAATCATCAGACGCTTCTCTTCTTTGTGATTCAGATAAATGACTGAGATGGGCTTGTCAAATGTATCATATGCTGCAAAGGTTTCAAGCCCAGGTCTATCCAAGTCCGGTCGTGTAAGATTTGCCTTTGAATAATTGTGCTCAAGAGTCATCTGGAGATCATGGGAGGCGTAGAACCGAACTTGTCTTGTCATGAATCTCTTAATGGCCTCAAAACCTTCTCTAGCAAGTCTGTCTTTGTGCACTGGGAGCTCCCTGCATCTCATGAACATTTGATAAATATCATCCATGTGCAGTAGGAAGAAGTCATTCTCTTGACAGGTGAACTCCGAGCCATCGGTACGTCGTAGACGAAAGATCAGGAACTTAATCGTTTCCAAGTAGTCTTCTGTGATATCCAGGATTTTTGATATAGGACATCCACTTGTTGTAAGATTATGATTTAGAACTTGTCTTCGTTCCCCTGTGGATCTGTGTCCTAGCATATACAGGTTACCTCCTCGGTATTTTCCTTTCAAGTGATTGATTCCTCGCATCTTTAATTCACTGAACTTCTTGATTTTTTCAGGTTGTCTCCAGATTTTCTCTCGGATTTCTTCTAGGAAGGGGGCTTTGATTCTAACAATTTCCCATTTTTCTTTGACTGGTTCTGGTGCCTTGGGATTTTCTTTATGATTCTCCCCTTCCTTGAGTTCATCTTCATCGAGTCCAATCATTTGTGCATGATATTTGTTGAGGAATTCTCTGAGTTGCCAGCTTCGACACATTTCGTACTGCTCCGCTTCCACTCTAAGATCATCCCACTCTGTCCACTCACGAGGCCACTGATCATGAACTAGAAGGTCTTCCAGTTCATCTTGTATTTGATTACCAGAGGGCTTAGAGTGAGCTTGTTGTTGTGTCGAAGGCGACCTGTCATGTGAAACACCGGGATCCTCAGGATTGCCCGTTATCACCAGATTAGAACTAGGTTCTTTCTGATGGCCTGAATAGAAAGGTGTACTCGAAGTAGCAACCTCAGGACTTCCACTCCATCCTTGGTCTACATCTATGAAAGATGAGCCTAGGAGTGTTGTTTCTAGCTCGACCGGGCTAGATGTGGGTGAGTTGGCTGTTTGGCTTTTATGATGAGTGGATGGTGGGGGCTGATAGTTCGAGGATTCAGGTTGGTTGGATTGCGTAGAGGGTTGGCTTGTTGACGCATCACGTTCAAGTGTCCTTTGTCTCTTGTTCTCCCCCTCATGAGGATCCGAGTCATCGGGGTCCTCATGCGAACGTTTGTGACCGAGGAGACTATCACGGCATGAGTTGTCAGGCTTAAGGATCCGAAGAAGGTCTTTTTGTTTCTGGGTTAGGTTGCCTTCTTCGGTAGCTAGTAGTTGATCTAGCATTAGGGTTTCGAGTACCTCGAACGGTAAAGTTTTAGGGTCAGGAAAAGGTGTGGTCGAAGTAGGGGAGGACACTAGTTCTGTATCCTGGGTTCCCCTTGAAGCAGTAGGTGAGTGGGGTAGGGTTGTGGATGGTTCAGAGGTTTGTTGGGTAGGTATGATAGGGAGTGGTTGGGTTTCTTGGGTATGTGAGGATGTTGGTTGGGGTTGGATGATGTCATTATGCAGTGCCGGGGTGTTCCTGAATTCCTGTGCCCGAGCGGTTATTGCTTCGTGCACCCATGGTTTAATGGTGGAATCCAAGAAACGCTGCAAAATGACGGAAAGGTCGGTAGGGTCAGGGTTACCGGTTACAGGGGTAGTAACCGTTGTCACAGCATCAGTAAAGATTACCGAAGTGTGGCCTGCAGATAATGATGGAGATATCTGTTGAGCAGCAGGACTTCCGATCATCATTGACGTATCTCCGATCGTTGAGGACAAGTAAGGTGCACCTGTCGTGTGCGGTGGTGTGAGCAGTGTATGTGTCCTAGAAAATGTTGAAAATGTTGGGATGGTGGAAACTAGACTCAATGTGCTAGAAGGAGGGGTAGTGGTCTGGGGCGGAAGACCACAAAGTAAATCCTCAGCTGCTTCGTAAGGAGGCAGCGAGGTGGGTAAAAGATCCCCTATTTGTGAAACTACTACCTGTTGGGAGGCAGCAGAGTGGCTAGGTGAGGCTTGTGCATGCGCAGTTGGGCTAGATGCTGCGTCTTCTACTCGGAGACTGAAAATATCAGCCTCTGCACCTATGGGGTTAGCCCGGTTTATTGTGTCAAGGTCAGAGCAGCTGTCATACAAAGCTAACTCTTCCGCCAGGTTGCTCGCGGTTTGCACTCTTTGCACAGGAGTAGATGATGAGGCATTGTCATGACGCACCTTGGAGCGAGTCTCACTAATGATATTTCCTTGAGTGTCCTTGATTTGGTGAGACTGCTCTTGTGTTGTAGCCCGAGAAAGCCTGATAACGAGTCGTCCTTTCTTAGCACGGGCTTTCTCGACTTTCTTGCCCTTTGCATTGGCATTGTCGTCGTCCTCATCATCATCATCGTCGTCGTTCCTAGCCTTGCTCCCAGAGCCCTCATCGTCAGCGTCTTGTGTTGTGGCTACGCTTGGCGAATCACGGGTAAACTCTTCAGCACGGGTGTGGCCCTCAGCAGACATAGTCTGATCATCATGGGGCCGGCTTGCCACTGGTCTCTGTGGCCGGGTTGAGCTCTCAGGACCCTCACTCACTCTCGGCTGACTCCCCGGGGTAGGCTCAGGGGGGTTTATCTGAGCCATAGGGAGTATGACACCATTCTCCTCGCTGTAGCGTATAACATGTTGATCATTGCGACCAGCTAGCAGGAGGAGAGGGACAGGAATAGGTAATGGTACCAGTGAGGGTACCTCTGGCATTCTCTTCAGATATTGTAGGGCTGGAGTGCTGACATTCTCAGATGATTTGCGCCTTTGGATTGTTGGAATGGTTCTGCAGAAGTGTCGCACCAGCAATGAAAACCATCTCATGTATGGCAGATGTTTGATCAGATCAGTTTCAAATTTTCTTCTTTGCATTTCCAGAATGTCACCCCAGATTAGTGAGGTGAAGTCGTAGTTCTTCATGAAAGCGATGCCGTGAAAGATGTAAACGAGGTAACCACTGCATTTGTCGAAGCCGCTGTGCTTAGATGTGCAGCACTTGTTTAGTGTGGCCATTAGTGTCCTCCAAGGTCGTGGAAATCGTGCGGTCTTGATTGCGGACATCAACCGGAGGGGCTCAGCGTGGCCTAGAGTGATCATGTCTTCAAAGATTTGCGTTTCTGAGGCCAACACGTCATAGTGTTCCTCCTCCGGGATTTGTAGCACTTGTTGGACGAGCTCCTTAGTGATTGTGACTCGGGTGTTGCAGATTGTGGCAGCTAGTACATCATCGAGTTGCCTGCCATTTGCATCCACGTCCTTGTCAAGTGTACCCCAGAATTGTTGGAGATACACCTGAGGGACTTCAGCGTTTTCGCTCAGTGCCTTCCAGAGTTTGTGTCCTTTCAGAATGGAGACCACGACGTCATCTTGACAAGAGAAGACTTCTGGGTCCAGTTGTGAGTTGTTCTCTTTGATCGGGATCCAGTGTTCCCTAGCATAGATCATGTTGATTGGAGTGTTGGCAGCCATTTCAATCTGAAAATGATAAAGAGATTAGAGCATATGATCGAAAATGGCTAAGTCCACAACTTATTCCTCACTTGGGCCCTTTATTGTTTTTGTTTTTTTTTTTGAAAAGTGGGGCCCAATTTAAGAATGGTTATTGGTCTTGGTCGAAGTTGGGCCTGTACTTGGTTAATTTTGGCCCACATAAAGAATTTCCTCTAAGGGTTGGAACTTGGGCTGGGTCTAACTTGGGCCTGCTTGGTCTCATTTGATTGTGCAGCCTAAGTAATTTGGCAAAGTCTAAAATCGCGCATCCCACAGAGATCGCGCAGACTGGTGGAGAATCGCGCAAGGGTCAACAATCGCGCAAGGCAGATGGATCGCGCAGCTCGCCTAAATCGCGCAACCTGCCCCGGATCTCACAAGAATGAAGATCGTGCACCCCTGTATTTCGCGCAATTCAGTCAGATTGCGCAAACCCTGTTCGCGCTATGGGTCGAATCGCGCAAGGGCGCCAGATCGCGCAGCCTGTAGAATCGCGCAAGGGCTTCGCGCATCAGTTCATGTACTTCCCTGTTCATCATCTTCACGAGATACCTGTGAAATATTCATTTGAAAGCAAGAGGGAATGGAGATTTTACCGTTTTGAGAATATTGGGGGCTTGAGAGAAGAGAGATGCTAGATTTTGCTCTGAGGGAGTCTGAGGGTTTCGCGCAAGAGAAAGAAATGGGGAAGGGGAGTTGCGCGTTTCACTTGTTTAAATAGGCCCGGGAGATTTTTCAAAATGTAACGGGCCCAAATCAGTCTGATTTCAGTTTAAAAATTGCTCCCCCTCAACACTTGCTTCCCTTTTGAAATGAGAATTTAGCAAACTCCCCCTCAAAAAACAGTTTAGAAAAGCTCCCCCTCAACAGATGAACAGATTT